GGGGGCGGGGGCGGGGGCGGCGGCGATACCAGTGTATGTTGTGGATGACCACAATGAGGTGTTGCAGCCCGTGCATCGTGCAATTGGGTCCAAGCTGCTGCCATACCAGGTAAGGCTGTCCTCTTGCTTGGCGCTGGCGGGCCGTCTTTTGAGAGGTGAGGCTGACTAACGATAGGGTATCGCCTTGGACGCGGCAGGATAACGTGATTGTGCATGTGGACGCACACCCGGATCTGGGACTGCCAGAGGGGGCCTCGCATGACCGGGTCAGCGCTCGATCCGTCATGCTCACTGCACAGCCTTTTGCATTCGCCAAATGAGCTGACAGAGCACGATGCGCGATCGCGCAGGTCTACACGGCAAGCTGGTGCCGAGAAGAGTGCGACATTAGTACCTGGCTCTTGCCCCTTGTATATACTCGGTTCGTATTTCTAGCTGCCTTGCCGCGTACACCTGCTTTGGTTCTGCTCTCCAGCAAGAGCCTCATGCGCGTGATCCATCTTCATGGACTGGGTCTCTCATCAGCAATGTGGCACACGTGGTCTGGATCAAGCCGACCTGGGCCAACCAACTGGCCGTCGGCTGCTACGAGTATGTCACCTCACACGCGGGCCTCAAACCGCACATGCAGAGCTCCCCAGGAGTCTGATTCTGTCCATCATGCCTTAGGCTGGGCGTCGGGACAGATCCTTCTCGCAACAAGCTCTGTGTGACGCTGCCGCTGGGCTACTACCTCGCGAATGGCGAGTATGCGCCAGCCGAGGTGAGGCTTGGCTAAAGCCAGGGTTGGTGGCCGTGTTGACTCGGTCTGGCGCTGATGTGCGCAAATCCCGATGAACGCAGACATTGGATGACATTCGCTATTGCCGCCTGCACGTCGTCGAGGCCACCGGTGCCGGTAAGTCGGGTGCCATGCGGCCTCGACCATGCTGCCCTGCCGCACCTGTCTTGCGGCAAGGCTTCTGGCTGGACATTTGTCTCGACTACTTTTGGTGCCACAACCCCTTCAAGGTGTCCCAGACCTGTCAGCTCGTGCCTCGTAAATCCCCCATCCTTTTTTTTTTTCTCTTTTTTTCTTTCCCAGGACCAAACTGGTTCCTTTCCTTACTCGGTGCATGTGACCGTGCTGCTGCTAGGATCAAATGGCCGCTGCTCACGGTGCGGCGCTGTATGAGGAGCTCTGCGCTGCAGTCGCCACCGTTGCTACCCTACCGTACGCTTGTGATCGAGTGGAAACCTTTGGTTCCTTGCTCTTGCCACGCTCATCTGAGCCATCTGCCGCATCTTCGTGGCTGGGCTTGAGTGCTTAGGCAGGATCACCAGCTGTATGCAGACTCCACTGAAGCGCTGGCCGTGCAGTCGGCTTGGCAATCATCAGTGAAGGAGTTACAGGAGGTGTTGACCGCAGCCCAGAATTCTGCCTCATCGTGCACATCAGCCTCGCCAGGCCAGCAGACCGGATCGTGGAGTCGCGTGGCGGAAATTGCATCGCAGATCTTTGGCGAGGCGTCTGATTGCACACCAGAATGGCTGTTGTCAGCGATTGAGTGTCAGCATCTTCCCGAGAGTCCCCATGTCACCACCATGGTAAAACCGCAAAATTGTTTTGCGTTGCTTCTTGCTTCGCTCCTCCTTTGCTCCCCAGCCTCATCCGGGTGACGTGCTGGCATGAAACCCTTCCAGGACGTGCAGCAGGCCTTGAAGCGGTTGGCACAGTTTCTCTTAGATATGGATGCTGGTGCGTGAATGTTTTTGGGCCGGTCAAAGTCGCCCAGACTTGTCATCATAACTCGTGTGGTTTCTCTCATTTTCTCTACCTTGGGTCGTGGTCGTGTTTGTGGCCAGGTGCCCGTGCCCTGGTGGTAACGGTAGCAAGATCTGTGTCAGATGGATATTGCCCTGCACAGGTCGAACCGGGTTTTCAGACCGCCCAGGGTGCGGCCGGGCTGGCCAGCAACGACCAAATTTGTCAGCTCGTGCTTGACTGGGTGCAGGAGCATTGGGGCCACGACGGTGTGACAGGCACGGCCGATGGCGCGCAACCAAAAGCCAAGCGTCGTGTGCCTTGAGTGCCGTGAGTTCAAGCAGAGATGACTGTTGGAGTGCAGACAGAGTGCTACCGAATACGATGAAATTTACATGCATGTTAAGAATTTGAGAACAAGCCCATTGGACGGTTTCTGACCGTGCCAAGGCGGCATGGCAGCGTCAGCGGCGGGGTGCACCTCAAAGCGCCACCAGTATATTCAAATTCTGAGAGCCAAGTGTATGTTCACAGCCTTATTCCTCGCGCTCAACAATGCGCTCGCGGTGGATGTGGTGTGTGCGATGGTGGCCATGTTGACGGCGATCGTGGCGTTGGTGCTTGCTCTTGTTGCGAGCCGAGTGTGGGTTGCGCTTGCGCCTGGGGGCAAACTCAACGTCGAAAACAAGCTGAGACTGAATCGTCTCCACCGTCTTGGTGGTCACGGTCTCAGGTGAGGGGGAGCGCGCTTCCTCCGCTTCAGAGGCCGCATCATCAACAACGTGGGTGATGGTTTTTCGACGCTCCATGGTCTCCAGCTCGGTGACGATGGGTCGAATCACTTCTCCTGGCTGCACCACGGTTCCATGAAGTCAGTTGGCAACTCGTGCGAGGCAGTTTGGCACGGGGTACGGCAGGGCGATCGTGCTGAGGGATCTGTGGGGCATTGCATACCTCAGGCCAGATGCCCGGCTGAATCTGTACGCCGAGAAGCTCAGCGCCCGTCGATGTGCTGGGCGGTGCAGAATGATGGCGAGCAGCCCGAATCAGATGTCGTGACGGGGGTTGGCAATACCAATCAAGGGGCGCTCAGTTGGCACTCACGCAAGAAAAGCAATGAGCTCAATGACCGAGTTGCAGCAGATGTTGGATTCCTGGAGCATAAAGCCGTGGTCTGTGCGGACGAGAAGAAACTCGTGCAGCAGCAAGGCATCGGGGTCCACACTATAAACACCATGTAAAAGCAATGTGAGCTTGAGCATGCGCGCAGGAGCACGGGTGGCCTGATCGCTCACCTGACGGCGAGAACGAAGCATCCAGGATAGCTATTCGAGGCGCGTACGGCAAATACGCCAAGAGGTTGGCCTCCCAGCAAAGCTATCCATACACAAGGACAAACACGTATCGGAAAGCACGATTGAGAAGAAGAAAACAAGGACTATGAAGCAGAGCAGAGCAGGGCAGAGCAGGACTCACTTTGAATGGCAGTGCGGGTGGCAAGCGGGTAGAACCAGTGGCAGCTCCGGATGTCCTGTTCGACCGTGACGAGGACATCGATGTTGTTGACCGCCAATTCTTGGTGTGTAAGTTGGTCTGGGGAGCCGCTGTGTCCGGCCATCGGCGCCGGTTGCAAGCCATTGCTCTGTTGATGCACTCGATACGATGTGGTCTGACTCTGAAGGCCCTGGACTGGGCCGCGGCGATGGCCATAGCTCTGCGACTGGATCTGCAAGCGAGGCTGGCTGGCCTGACGCACGCCGCGCCTTTGATTGTATTCTTCGACTTGACTTTGTTGCACCACGTAGTCATCCTGCGAGGGGGACGGCAGCATCTGAGGCTGGGACGGAAACTTGAACATTGGGCTTGGTGAAGGTTGCTGACTACCCGCGTAGCCATGACTGTGCTGGCGATAGGCGGTCACGCCACCGTAGCTGCCCATGGTTGTGGTCATGGCAGCGAGCGCGGGGGCGAGGAGGGGGCAGAATGAAAGGTTGGTGTTGTTGATGTTGACTCGATCGAGATGCTGGAAAAAAAAAAAAAGGTGCTTCGCCGTCGAGTGGCTTTGAATTGACACTTATGACTCTGTACTTCCAAGAGCACACGCCTAGTCTGAAGTTGGGAGGGGCGTTGGCCCGATGCACGCAGTTGCAAGGCAACACAGCTGGTTGCGCAGGAGCCGTGTCCCTTCCCAGCACCGACCCAAAGCAGACTGAGCCTGTGGTTTGTGGTTGAGTCTTGTGTGGTGGAGCCTTTTCGCCGTGTACCCATGCATACATGCATGCAAACATCACACAATGTCAGATCATCGCTGCGAGTCTCCATGGGTATTCGCGGGTCTCTTCAGAGATTTGAAAATCCGAATTTTTTGATGGAAAGTGTGTGTGTGTGTGTTCTTCTTCTTCTTTTTATTTTCAACGGACCGATCTCGTAACGGCGGCGGTGGCAGGCGAGACCCGGGCCTTTGCCGAAACAGCAGGGCAGTCTCACAGGAACAGCCGAGTTTGCGGGTGGTGTGTTGGGTTTGGCAGCGTGGCTGGTACACCGCACCGGGGCTTGTTGGCACGTGGAAAGGCTGCGGCTGGAAACGAACCGTTGAGGAGCCCCGTTATTGGGGGTGCGTGCAAGCCTGCCCAGGCAATCATGGAGGCGGCGGCAAATACGTTTTACGATGGCAACCTGGCAGTGCAAGTCGAGGAGCGCTCGCGTCACAGGTGCGGGCTGTCGTGTACCTGTCAATGGGGGCTGGAAGGGAAGAGTGCGGTACCAAGGCGGCGACGTGTGCCTTCAGAGGCTGCATCGAATCCTCTCAACCCGGTCTTGGTGTGGAATAGTGTGAGCGATCAGGTGCTGCGCGTCCTTTTACAGCACCGCACGAGCAAGCTGGCTGATCGCCAGGGGCTGCTGGTGCGAGTCACAGATGACCAGGATCCCTTTTTTCTCTACTCTCTCGAACTGGCGGAGCGTGACTTTGCTGAACTCAAGCGCGAGCAAGGCCTCAAGGTGGACTATGCCGCCTTTCCTCGTGATTGTAGCCGGCTCTTATCCCGTTGCGCAGACCCCGACGATTCGCGGTGCGTTTTGCAATTTCATCCGTTATCTTGACATGGTGGCCTATGCTCTTGCGTGCTGCCGCCCACCTGATGCCGCTCATGATGCTGAACGGGTTTGTTTGTCTACCATTTCACGCCGCACCTGAATCACGTTCGACGGGTGACCAGGTACATGTGTCAGCTTGGCCTCGATGCCACCTCGGGCCAGGCCACTTTGAATCTGGTGGAAACGAATCAGTTTAAGAATCTGGTCCACCTAAGCCTAAGGTTGGTCCCAGTCTCGCACTAGTCCGCCCTCTTCCTAAGCAATCCTCTGACCCTTCTTGCCAACCGGTGCCCAGATTGGTCCAGGCCGACGATGCCAGTGTGCGACAATACCTGGCCCAATGCCTGCAAGTGGCACAGCGTGCCCATGCTCAGCTACAAACCGAGCATACTACCCTGCAAGAGCGCCATCAGGCCATGTTTGCGGTCAGTGGGCTGGCGCAGCATCGAGAGGGGGGGAGATGACACGGCAGGCTCACGCTAATGGTGCACTGCCTCACTCTTTCGTTTCTTGTCTTTTGTATCCTTGTGTGTGTGTGTGTGTGTGTGTGTGTGTGTGTGTGTGTGTGTGTGTGTGGCGACGGACTTGTCTGTTCTCAACAGGAGTTGCATGGCCTTCAATCGTCCCGAGAACAGACCGAGCACCACTTGACCCATCAAGCCCGGCAACAGATTCTAGAGCTTGAGCAACGACACCAGCAGCACCTCCAGCAGTGCCAGCAACTGGAGCAGGCGCGCTTTACTGAACTCGAGGTGTGTTGAGCGAACCTCCTCTGCATACATGCTACCTGAGCTTGACCTTTGTTTCGTTCGTTCTGCAAGCGCTACTCTTGACTGTAATCTCTGCGGGGTCTTGGGTCGACAGCAACGTCACCGAGCAGCCCGGGAACAATGGGAGCGCGAGGCCAAGCAAGCGCAAGCTGCGCTCGAGGCGCAGGTGCGCGAGCTGACCACCCTCAACGGACAACTGCGTGAGGTCAAGTTCCAGCAGGACGGCTCATCCCGTGAGCTCTCACTGAAGCTGGAGCACGCGCACAAAATGAACATTGAGACGACCGCCGAGCTCACGGCCACGCGTGAGCGCCTGCAGCAACGCGACACTCTTGTGGTAAGGTTCACAATGCTGCGTCTCCTTTGTACGCACGCGAGTACGATCGCACTCAACCGGGCTGTTGTTTGCCGCTGCCACCGCATTGGTGTGCGTGCGTGTCTCTGGTGGCACACGGGGGTGCGTGCTTGTTAGGAGCAACAAGCGGAGCGTCTGGCGAGTTTGCAGGCAACGGTCGAGCGCCTTGAAGCGGAGCGCAATACGGGCGCTGAGCGCTTGCAAGATCGCCTGCAGACCTTGTCACAGGCACAGCGTCAGGTGGAGGTCAGTCACGGCTGTTCGTCCAAGCCACGCGCTGTGCAGGATTGTGTCTTCCTGCCCGCGCCATGTTTGGGCCGACTCAGATTATTGCTCAATAGCATGTTCATGTGTCTGCGGGGGCCTGGTGACTTCATGCTTTGCTGGGTTCGATAGGAGCTGAAAGTGGAGCTGCGACAGGCCCAGCAGCATGCAGCGGCCTTGGAGCGCACATTGCAGTCTAGCGTTGCTGAAATTCACAAGGGCAACGGTGTCATTTCCAACCTGCACCATCAATTGACCACAGCTGGAGAGCGGGAGGAGCGCCTTGCACATGAGCTGACCGAGGTGCGTGGGTTGTCAACCCACAGTCTGGGCTTTTGGGTGTGGTGTCGCGTGGTTCGGACGAGTGCGGTTCTCGACGGATTGAAGCTCACGGGGTGCTGCTTGTTGTAATCGGGCATGGGCTGGCTTATGTGCAGGCACAGGAACAGATTACTGCTCTCCAGGCGGAGCGAGAGAAGCTGCGGGATCAGAGTGTTCGGTACGTTTTGAATTGCTTCAAGACTGGTGGAGAGGAGGAGCTTTGGTGCAGAGACTGAGCTTGATGGGGATTGTCTTTTTCTTCGCGCGGTCGTGTGCTTTTGCAGCACGGAGAACGAACTTCAACAAGTCCGAAAGGAGCAGAGTGCTTTGGAAGAGGCTTTGGAGACCGCGCGCGCAGAGCAGCAACGCCTGGCTCAAGACTTGCAGACCAAGGAATCAGGTATGACTTGTACCGTTGGGGTTGTGCCTGCATTTGCGCTGTTGCACATGGGTCCTTTTTTTTTATTTTTTATTTTTATTTTTTTTACCCTTGGTCTCATCACTGGCGTTCCTGTCACTGTGGGAACGGGGACTGGTCGGCAGTTTTGGCATGGATGAATCGTCAGCGGGCGCCGCAGACATCTGGGGCCAATTTTTTACCAAGCGGGACGACCGTTGGAGCCGGGTCCTCGACTCAGTATGATGTCGTGCGCAAGGTGGCTGGGTATGAGGCGGCGGCGCATCTTGGTCGCTCGACCCAAGTGGGGCCCTCGGGTACGGCTAAGCTGGCGCAAGTCTTGCAACAGCAACGTCGTCCCCTGGGGTCACTGACGAATGCTCACCCTTCGTCCAAGGACAAGGTCTGTGTGCACCTCCATGTTTCTCTTTGGCCGCGCACAGTTGATTTGCTGCGGGCACTCACCGCGAGTTAAGGGCGTGCAGGTCTCGGCTGGATTGTTTGAAGTCGAAAAACCGGAGCTGCCACGTGTAGTTTCAAAGGGGACGGAATCAGCGCCGGCTGCGACGCCCGAGTCAGAACGATCGCACATCCCCAAGCCCAAGCATCAGCGCCAGTTTACGACGCCGCCGCAAAAGGGCCCGCCCTCTGCCATGGCAACGCCCGATTTACATCGCCAACTGCGTCAGACAAACAAGCAGCCGGGATCAGGCAAAGCGCTACAGAGCTCGCCGGATCCCCACCCGCAACCCGAGAAACCACGAGCCGTAGATACCCTGTCCACGAGCTACACCATGCTGACGGCTGGTGGATCACATTCCGTCGCGTAATGCCGCAGGCCAACGCGACATATGGCATACTGTAATAATATTAACATCCGATGTCAACAGAGGCATGTGCCCTCTGCGTGTACGTGCGCGCGTGTGAGCGTGTGAGCGTATTTCCAAGTGTTCTTCCTGCGAGTTTGCTTGATCTTGGGCCAGTCAATTGTATCTTTTTCTCTGCGTCTTGTATCGTCAAGTTGCCTTTGTTCCCCCTTCTTCTTCTGCTGCACGTCCCAGAACAGCCACAGACAGTCAGTTATACATGAACATGAATGGGTTTGCAGGCTCTCGCTCGCTGCGACACTCTACAGGCGTGTGCTTGTGTGGCCTGTGCGCGCGCAGTGTCGCTTTTGTCTGTTTTTCTCCAGCGGCACCCGGAAACTGGGACGAGGCAGGGAAAAAACAAACAAACCACGAGTGTCTGGTTCCTGTCGTTTTGCGTGTGGACCTGATACTCTTGCGCTCGGGAGGGCTCTGCTTCGCGTGTCCCCCTCCGGTTGCCCTTTCGATGGTTCGATCGTTCTCGAACCCCCCACCACCACAATAAATTTTTTTCATGTTCGCAGAAACGTTTTGCAACAGATTGCGTGATGAACATCCATGTTACAGTGGGCTAAGTATGCTCCAGGAAGCTTAGGAAGCAGACATAGGAATCATCATGTAGGAAACCTCCACCCCATGCTTGACGTCAACTGCGTGTCAGGTTCTCCGTGCACACTTGCAATCTTGCGAGATGTGCTTGACGCTATTTCGGCCTTCTTTGTTCACGCACCCACACACATACCCACACCCACACCCACACACATCACATAGGCGCTGGGGGGCTGTTGTCATCAAATTCGGACGCAACGGACCCTTAAACCCCACGAAATGTGTCCACAATCCAAGAGGGTCTTACACATTGAGAATGTTCACGAAAGTATTTACATCCTCAATCAGACGTTCCCACCGCCAAACCCAAGTGATAGAAAGAGACAGCCATCAACCCTTGACGGCAGAGAGGCAAGGAGACACCAAAGCCCCAGCCAGCCAAGAGAGAAGAGAAAGAGACAGCACCAGACGCCAGAGACACACACCCATTCACCTCTCCACGTCAGCACGGTGGCATCTTGCATCTTTCCTTGCATCGGCCTGAAGCCCCCTCCCCCTTTCTTTTCTTACATGGTTGAAGCTGGGTGCATGCGTCACTCTGGTCATTTTCTGGCCCAGAGTTCTGGCCAACTCTATCCACCCCTACAACCTCGAGCCCCATCCCCGAAATCACGAAACTTGATCAGGAGTCGCTGACTGATTTTCCTGATTGTTCTCCATTCCACGGCCTCAGACGGACAAACAGGTCAACCAACAGACACCCCGACCGACTTGCAAGCTTTGGCTCGCAGAGTCATCTTTTCCCACCTGCATTGCCCGCTGAATGTCCCGCCTCAACGCAACTTGGCCACCGTCCATACGCCATCCCCCTCTCTTCGGGTACCCCCCGGATCTCCGCCACACAGTGCCTGTGCTTGCTTGTCCAGAGCTGAGGGCATCATTTTTGAAACCCTGTGGTCCCCACATATCACCCCCGTCTCCCCCGTTCCCGCGCCCGCCTCCGCATGCGCATCCGGACTGCTTGCTCCTTGAACAGACAGACACCCGTTTCTCGCACACGTTTCCCGAGTTCTTCTGAAGCGCACACCAAATCTGCGACCCTCAAAGCAACGGCATGAACGCTCTTTTGGCGGCAGCCGGTCTGCAGGCCGAGCCCGCCGACCCGACGGTTCTCAAGGCCAAGCAGGCCAAGCAGGCCAAGCAGGCCAAACAGGTTGACACATCCGCCCAGACAGCCAAGGATCAGTCGACTTTTACCGACACTACCCGCATCCACAAAAAACGGTCTGCGTCTTTGTCTAACCGCCATCACGGCAAGAGCTCAGGATCATCGCAGCCCTCAAAAACCAAGCGCAAAGGTGTGCAAGCCGACTCCATTAGCCCAGACGCCGCCACCAACGAGGCTTTATCTGCCGACTCAGCCATCGCTGCAGCACCGAGCGTATGCGCACAATCTTCGTCATCCACGCCCGTTCCGACCAAGGCCTCAGAGCACGAGCGCCAGTCATCACACTCCAAGCCCGTGCAGCATGCGAAGCTCCTCAATGACCGCGGGCAGCGCCCCAAGCGAGGCAGCCACGCCAGCAACCAGCGTAGCACAGAGACGGCACCCTTGACGGCGGCGGATAGCGTGTCCAACTTGTCTTCCGATTCTTCTGCGACGTCCCATCAGCGCACCGGCCTTAGCGAGGTAGCTAGCGCCACCGGCGCCACCTCGCAAAGTGCTGCCACGATGTCCACCTCCGCCCGCAGCAGCGAGGGCAGCCGCGGCGACGACGAGGAAAGCGAGGGTGACAGCTATGCCGGCGAGCCGGCCTTCAAGACGGCCAAGCGCCACGGACAGTCACATCAGTCCCATCAACGATCGCTCCAACCATCGGGTCAAGCAAAGCTGTCTCCTTCTCGACCTACTTCCGGCCCAGAAGACTCGGCTCGTGGCTCGCCGACTTCACCCGCCAGTACTGTCGACTCCCAGCTAACAGACCGCACCCGCGAGTTTAATCGCATTGCCGCGCTTCGCCACCGCCAGCGTGCCAAAATGCGCCGCCTCGAACTCGATCAACGCCTTCTCGAAGCCTCACGGCACCAGCAGCAGCTCAAGATGGAGATGGAGGAGCTCAGCAAGAAACACCACTCTTTGCTGGAGCTCTGCTTCACCCTCTACGGGCCCGGCGGCATTCGTCAGTCCTGGCTCACCACCTCACGTTTTGGTCACGTTCCCGTCGTGGGCGCCCACCACGCCCGCTTTGGCGGCCCCCTCGATGCCCACCCGGGCCTGATGCACCACCCAGGCATGGGCATGGGCCTGGGCATGGGCATGGGCATGGGCGTACCCGTGAACATGGGTATGAACATGCCAATGCATCACCATCTCAACCAAGCCCACAGCTCACATCACCTCGCGGACATGCGGCCAGCCAACACGATGCAAATGGGCATGGGCGGTCTCAACCCGAGCATGGCCCACCATGCTGCCGTCGGTGGCCTCAATCCCAGCCTATCCCAAACCAGCGTGCACCAGCCCAACATGTTTCCCATGGCCATGTTTGGATACCCAGGAGCCGCCAATCCCGGCAACAACAATGCGGCTGCTACAGGCAGCACCTTCAAGTTCAACCCCTTTACGGGCGAGCCCATGACTGGCACGGGTACCGAGGATCCCTTTGCGGCCAACCCTTCGCAACAGCAGCAGCAGCAACAACAACAATTACTCATGGCTGCCACGGACCATCTGCGCTCGACATTGCAGGGCAAAGATGGTGCACGGGCCTTGAACAACGCGTTGGCCACTCCCGTGCCCAAGGTTACAGACTCCGGGGCGGCTCGGGCCGGGTCTACGGGCCCTTGAGTCGTCATTGGGGCCAATGCCAACGCGGCGGCTCGTCTTTGTGTCTATCCTCTTGGCTTGTTCGTGTTCTGGCTTCTGCTCAGGACACATTGGCGGCGGTGCCGCAGAGCTTTTTGTTTGCGTGACCTTCTTTTCTTTTTGCTTTGATCTGCTCCTTGACTTATTTTCGGTGTTGTGAATCATGCGTGTGGCTCACGTCCAGTGCTGCAAGCGCGTCGTGTTCACCTTGTACATGTTCGGCTCTCTTGCCCATGAGTGAGGGTTGGCTGTGCACGCTGTGCGTGCTCTTTTTGTTTGATGTTTTCCGAGTTTGTTTGGCTAGCACCCATTGTCTCGGTCATCTCTTCATTCGGTGAGCCTACTGAAGGAGATCGATGGCTGAACCCATGACCTGAATTGACCACCAACACTTGAAAAAGACTTGCAGCCAAGGGCTCATCACCGCTCACCCATAATCCGCTTGGCACGATACCCATAAAAAACGCCAGGCCGTAAGAAAGACGGATGTAAGACGAAACACAGCGAGCAACGTCGATTGAAATCCAAGTGTACCGAATGCGACACTTTGATGGCAGGAGGTGCACTCTAAATATACCTCCCCAAAGTATCATGAACGCAAAATACCTCCCCAAAATATATCGTCTGACAACCACCCTCGCGGGCCAATAAAACGAACAAAGTGTGTGCTGGATCACACTTGTGTAGTTCCACCCCGCACTTGACCTTCTCCTTCTCATCGAGGTTTGAACCCTCGTGAAAACACTTTTTTTTTACCCGTCAAGGTGAGAGCTCAAGTCGTGAGCTCGACCGCGGTGAAGCGACGCATCGGTCCGGCGGTGCAAAGGTCTGGTGCGGGCCAGGGGTGTTTGGCAGCCGATGAAGACTCGTGTGGTCGAGTTGTCTTGATGGTTCATGGGCTCCATGTGATGCTGCTGCGCTCGATGCTGGTGCCACAACTCGAGCTTGGGCCGGCCACGCATGGCCGTGTGATCGATGCTGGTCGTGCGCCTCGTGCTTCGGCCAAGCCAAGGACCTCGAGCCGTCATGACAGCGCTCCTTTTCATCTCATGGAACAGAGTCAGGGACAAGCGGGGTGGCCAGATGCTCTGAGACACTTGCTATCAAGCATTGGTGTGCTCGGGATGTTCCAAAGCGACCGCCTGCCATTTTATATCATGGCTTGAATGCTCGTTGCGCGCCATGCTGCTGCACATGCTTGCCTCAGCTCATCTGTCTCTTTCTGCACCCAATATAGATGGGTCGCGTTATCCGTGGACAGCGTAAGGGTGCGGGATCTATCTTTACGTCCCACACCAAGCACCGCAAGGGTGCCGCCCGCCTTCGCCCGGTCGACTACGCCGAGCGTCATGGCTTTATCAAGGGCATGGTGCGCGAGAGTAAGTTCTGATTTTTTTTTTTTTGCCTGGCACATCAAGCCATGCCATTGAACCTTGGGAGAGAGGGTGGTCGGGACACCGGAACATTTCTTGATTTGTTTCACTTTACGCGCACCAGTCGTGCTGCAATCGCACGTCGAGAGCTGCAGAGTGAACTCATTTTACTTGTCCCCTCCAACACGTGTCTTTCTTTTCTTCAGTCATCCACGACCCTGGACGTGGTGCTCCCCTGGCGCGTGTGGTCTTCCGTGACCCCTACCGCTACCGCCTCCAGAAGGAGACCTTTGTCTGCGCTGAGGGCATGCACACTGGCCAGTTCATCTACTGCGGCAAGAAGGCTGAGCTGAGCGTTGGCAACGTCAAGCCTGTCGGTGAGATGCCCGAGGGTACCATTGTGTGCAACCTCGAGGAGAAGCCCGGAGACCGTGGTGTCATTGCCCGTGCCTCTGGCAACTATGTGACCGTCATTGCCCACAACTCGGACACTGGCAAGTCGCGTGTCCGTCTGCCCTCGGGCTCCAAGAAGACCATTCCCTCCACTTGCCGCGCCATGGTTGGCCTGATCGCTGGTGGTGGCCGTATCGACAAGCCCCTCCTGAAGGCTGGTCGTGCGTACTACAAGTACAAGGCCAAGCGTAACTGCTGGCCCCGTGTGCGTGGTGTTGCGATGAACCCCGTCGAGCATCCCTTCGGTGGTGGTAACCATCAGCACATTGGCAAGCCTTCGACTTGCAAGCGTGATACGCCCGCTGGTCGCAAGGTCGGTCTCATCGCGGCCCGCCGCACTGGTCGTCTGCGCGGTGGCCAGTCCTCTGGCAAGGACGAGTAAGCGCGTCCCCCTCTTCCTAAAAACCATTCGGCTCTCTCGGCCAACTTGGTGCTGGGGCATCTTGTTCTTCTTGCCTGGCCGCCCTCCAAAAGGGGTGCCCCGATCAAATTGACCGTGCTAGCATCATACTCTCTTTTTCCTGCTCCAACTTCTGGTTTACTACACTGTATCAGGCTGTCCGCAAGCAGTTGTTGGGGCTTCCTTTTATTTTATTTTATTGGAAAACCACGAACAAGTTGGGCGGGTCTGGTGGTGTGAGGTGATGTCTCAAGTAAAGGCACATACAGGGGCTTCGATTGGTTGACTCGGCTAAGGAAAAAAGGTGCCGCAGACACACGGTCGAGTAGAACCAAGGGTCTCTTAAACAAGCGAGTGCAGGCAGTTGCTTCAAATTAGCTGCTCGAGGTTGGAATCACTTCAGGTTTCGCATCTGCCTGATCCAGCGTGGGTGACTCATTGCCACTTCTTTGTGCAGGTGAAAAGGTCGTTGTTGTCGCCTCGGTGTCCACTTCTGCGGAATCCGACGCGGACCAGGCGCTGGTGACCGGCTGTGGTGCAGATGTGGGGGTTGCAGTGTTGGCGTCGCGTTGGATGGGAGCAAGTGGGGCAGCACCTGCTAGCGAGGGTGCCACTACCACGCCAGCTGGCTGAACTGTGATGGGAGCACGGTCGGCCCGGGTCGCACTGCTGGTGGATCGCGCCAAGGGTGGTAACCGCGAGGCGGCCGGTTGGTGCGCGGACGGGGCCAGCTTCCATAGCTGAATCACCTCCTCGTGGGCCATTCTGCAAGCATATGGGGCCAAGCCATGAGTCGAGGAAGGCGCAGGCATGTCGAATTGCAAAGGAGCTGACAGTTGCAGGCCCAGACTTACTGCGGCGCAGTTGTGACCGCTTGCGCCGAGCTGGCTGCTGGAGTCGGGCCCACCTTATTCTACCCCATGGAGCAAGGTATGTGCGGCTTGGATGAGCATGACATGACAGCAGCGGGTGCTACGGTTGAATTAACAAGGTCTTGCAATCGAGGGCATGGTTGCTCAGTTGATGCCTGCATACGTGAAAGCGGCGGATCAGGTCCGTGCGAAGGCGCTCCTCTCCTTTGGGCACGCGCAGTGCTTCTTCCAGCTCCTCATCTGTCACTAGAATAGGGGGGCGGTTCGATAGCTCGTATTCGAGTTGGGAGGCAAAACAGCCAAAGAGGCTGTCATTGTGACGGTAAGATCAGCTTTGGCATGCAAAGCTTTCAGCCTGATGGAGCACAAACACACATCCAAGCGCACGAACCAGCATGTTAGGGTGAAGGAGACGCAGCCTGCAGCCTGGTAGCGATTGACGCGGTCCTGCAAGGCTTGTCGATCGTTTTGAAAGCAATAGCAAACTTCACAGTAATTTTCAAAACGCTGCGTCACGTCATAATACCCATGCAACCGGATTGGTGAGTTCGTTGGTCGTGGGCGAGTGCGACCACGATCCACAAGGAACGGGGCGACAAACCATTATGCGGTTGTCCCAAGGGTCATGTTGAATATTGCGCTGATAGCGAGTGGCTTCTCGCAAACCGACCAAACTAACACAGGGACAGCACCACACCTGAAGGAGGAGTCAGCAATTGCGCATTTGCCACTCGGATGCCGAACATGTTCGGCACTTCACGCACCTCGGAGGCCAGCCGCACATGGTATGGACAGCTGCACACATCGCAAAGACCATCGCACTTGCTTCCGAGAGAACGGCAGCGTCGGCCTCCAAAACATTGGTATGGCTGCCTGCATCAATCGATTCAAACTCTGGTGTGAGGAGTGGGTCAGGAAGCGAGCTTGCGACGCCCAGGGCAACTGCACTTACTCGCGCCGAGGATTGAACCAAAAGTCATAGAGGTTACGGGCTCGCATCAGCGCCAACGATGGGCAGCAGCAAGCCGCACAAACGGCTAATGACCAAATGCCGAAATCAGAGCATTGCTGCTAGGGTCATGTCAAGATGACATGCGGTTGCGTGGGCTGCGGAAACTGGTAGGCCGTACCTTCGGGTGAGGTGGACCAAGCTTCACCGACCGGCAGTTTCCAGCGACCAACGTAGCTGGCTAGGGCGTTGGGATTTTTGTGCGCATGCATGAGGGGTGCCAGGCTGCAGCAGGCCCATCGATCACTTTGTGCCTCGGCCGGCTCGAGCGGCTCGAGCTGCTCCTGGGGCGGCGGCTTGTCGGACTTTTGTCGGTAGTTGAGAGCTTCAAGGGGTGAGACGTTGGTCTCGAGCGGCTCTGGGGTGACGGCTTCCATAGCTTCTGACTGAGTGTTCGTATTGAGGGCTAGGCCGGAGTCCCGTGATGGCGGCTCCGTGTCGTCCTGCATTCCGTCTACGTTTCAGGGCAAGAGGCCTGTACATAGGCTGGGAGGAGGAGCATGGGCGGTCGGCTCGCTCTTCCACTCGCGTGCTGCCTCCTCCTCTACACGGTCGGACGTTGGCCGTCACTATCGCTAGAACCGCACGCAAGAAGAGGACATCCCACTTCAAGGAGAGAGACGGAGGTGGGGGGGGGGCGGGGCAGGTTGGCGAGAGGGAGAGGGAGAGGAAGAGGGAGAGGGAGGAAGAGAGAGATCAAGGTCAATGGCGGCTGGCGGACGCGGACGAGCCACCCAAAACCTCGATCTCAGGGCGCGCATTTGTTTTTATCTGACAATTCCGACGTCGCCAGGGACTACCTGTTGCCAACACTTGTTGCACACACTAGCCGTTGGTCGCAAGTTTTGAATGTTTACGGGATGCATATTTGCTCGTCCAGTTATTCAAATCTTCACAAGCTGTATCGGCTATGTTTGGATGATGACAAAATGAACTTGCCCGCCGGCGCCAAAACAGTTTGCGCGGCTTGCTCCTGTCGTCACAACAAATCGAAACTGCAATAAGTCATTCACGTTCTGCATAAGATGACCTTATGAATGCTAATGATCCTGCAACAAGTCGAGGTGATACGCACACAAGTGGACTGCTTGTCTTTTCCATGACTTCTTTTTCTTGTTGTGGTCGTCGGGGCTCCCTCTCGGTCACTTGCGTTGTGGCAATAGCAGCTGGTGACGACGACACTGCCGGCAGGAAGCTTCATTTTTCTGGTTTTGAGCTTGTTGTGCGCTTTGTCCGCCTTGACGCGAATTGCTGCTCCTCATCTTCATCTTCACCATGGCTGCCACGGTATGTGCTGCTGCGAGTCGGGCGTCGGCGCCGGCATGTTGTTGGCCCTGACCTGTCGGCGTTCCTCGCCGCGTCGTCGTCTTGGCAAGCAGGTTTCGTCTTCTTCTCATGGCCTCTTGTCACTTGACTTGCTGCACTTAACTTGCGCCAGAATGAGAACATTGCGCCGCAGGTGCTTCGCCGTGTGGCCAAGGAAATGTCCAACCTGATTTCCAAGCCCATCGAGGGCGTGACCATGCACATGAACGATGCCGACATGACTGATATTCAAGCCACCATTGTCGGGCCCGAAGGCACGCCGTATGAGGGGGGTCACTTTCGCATGAAGCTCATTCTGAGCCCCGACTTTCCCGCTGCACCTCCCAAGGGCTACTTTGTCACCAAGATTTTTCATCCCAACGTCGCGCCCTCGGGAGACATTTGCGTCAACACTCTCAAGCGGGATTGGAAGCCCGAGTACGGGCTTGAGCACATTCTGACGGTGGTCAAGTGCCTGCTCATTCACCCCAACCCAGCCTCGGCTCTGAACGAGGAGGCTGGCAAGCTCCTGCAAGAGCAGTACGAGGAGTTTGCAGCCCACGCCAAAATGATGACAGAGGTGCACGCCAAGCCCAAAACCGGCGCTGCTGCTGTGACGGCCGGCAAAGGCGGCGAAGACAAGCCCAAGAAGAAGAAAACGGACAAGAAGAAGGCCCTCCGCCGCTTGTAAGCCAGCGTGGTACTTGTGGCGTGGCTGCATGTCAAGACATGCTTACGCACGCAAGGTCTCGCCGTTACGGTCATGTTTATGGGCCTCTCCCAGACACATTCATTTTAGCATTTGATTGATTCCCATTGTTGTCCTGTTTGCCAGTGGTTCTTTGTGCTACTACCTGGAGCCCCGGTTGTTCTGTGCGCACACCTTCTGGAGCATGGGCCTTCTTCTTTTTGCACTCATGCAAATCATGAGCGTGCCCTTGCCTCCCCCCCTTTTTTTCTTATATCTTTCTTGTGTCCGTGTGAACTTTGGTGTGCGCGTGTGCTTTTGTGTTGACTTCAGAGAAGATGAGTCGGCGCGGCCAGTTGTTGTGCAAAAGTGGACTGCCCGCGCCGTCTCGGCTGTTGCCCATGTTTTATTTACCCTGCCTTGGTTCTTTCGTATTGCCTGTGTTCTTGCTTTGGTGGCTTTAAGCCAAGCGAATCGAGGTAGCTCCTTCCATCTGCCCAGCAACATATTGAGCTTCCGCCCTGGTTCATGAGGGGGACCCGTGTCATGTTCATTAAAAAGTGGTGGCTGCAACGTTTCTATAGAGAGAGTTTGAGAGAGTTTGAGAGAGAGAGAGAGAGAGAAAAAGAGAGAGAGAAGACGTAAGGAGAGAGAGAAGAGAGAAGAGAGGAGAAGAGAGAGAGAGAGAGAAAGAGAGAAATTTCAATGAGAGAAGAACTGAGAAGAACGTCACGCGACTCTGTGTCTCTCTCTCTCACTCTCTGGATCCAGTTTTGCTTGTTCACCTGTGAGTGGGATACGGGGGGGGGGGGGGCTGCCTGTGATTGCTGCTGTGCTCGGGCGTTGTTGCTGCTCTGTTGCTACTGGCTCGCGGGTGTCTGGTGTGGTGGCAGTGCGTGGTGGTGGCTGTTTGTCAACCGACGCCAAGTTTGTGCTTACGGCTGTCCTCACGGGCCTCGTTACCATTACAGGACAGCCGAGGGCAGTCCCTCAACCAGCAACATGGCTCCCAAGGTCGACAACCCCGTGACCACGCACTTTGAATTCATGGGCCTCTTTGGTGAGGGCCTTCAGGCTTTGGGTCTCTCTCACTGCTTGCTGTACGAGCCGACAGCCGTCAGCCCGCTCACTGAATTTCGTACTTGCGATAGGCGCCAGCTTCATCCCGGTCGCCCTGCCGCTGACCGTTTATGCTCTGCACCTGCTGTGCAACGAGGACAAGGGCAACTGCGACATCTGGGATCTTCCGCAGCTCCCGGCCTGGGAGTCCTTCTTCTCCTATGAGGCCATGCAAGTCTTTGTCGGCTGGTTTGCCTTTCAGAGTTTCCTCTACATGGTCCTGCCTGGCGAGGTACTGTCGCGTTTCCTCGGTCGACCGCGTGCCAAGGCGCCATCTCGCAGGACAGGCCTCCCCATGTGCTTGTAAAAGCACGTCCTCAGCCCATTTGACACGTTTGCCATAGGTCCACGAGGGCCTGCCTCTGCGCACTGGCGAGCGCCTCAAGTACAAGTGCAACGGTATGCCCCATCCCGGCTCGCCTCAACGTTGTCAGTCAGAACCACGCGTGTGCCATCTCGCCTCACTTTGGATGCCGGGTCTGCCTCTTTATCTTCCCTCTACAGGTCTTGCTGCCTTTTGGGTCTCGCTGCTCTGCGTCTGTGCCGCTCATTTGGGCGGCCTCATCAACCTGGCGTGGATTCACGGCAATTTGCTCCAGCTCATGACCGCCAGCATCCTTTTCTCCTTTGCATTGAGTGTCTACCTCTATCTCAAGGCCCGCCAACCTGGCACCCTGCTTGCAGAGGGCGGCAACAGTGGTTCGTGGCTTCAACTTTGAGTCTGGCGCCCGCTTCTTGATCCTGATTCTCCCTTCTGTTCTGCTGTTCGGCTCCTGATCCACAAACCATCACCTTCTGTGCGTGATAGGCTATGCCATTTATGACTTTTTCATCGGCCACGAGCTCAACCCACGCATTGGTGACTTTGACCTCAAGTTCTTCTGCGAGCTGCGCCCGGGCCTCATTGGCTGGGTTGTCATTTGTCTGGGCATGGTCGCCCAGCAGTATGAACAGAACAAAGAGGTGGACATGGCTCTTGTTCTGGTGACCCTCTTCCAGTCGTGGTATGTTCTGGACGCCTTCCTGTCCGAAGTAAGTCTTTCCGTCGCCTCATGCCGCAGCGCCGAAGCGCGCTCTGGTTGCCAGTTTTTTTTGTTTGTTTTTTTCCAGCGCCAGCATGTGCATGCCGGCCGTGCTGCACATGTGCGGCTCATCACCAATCTGCCTGGTTCCGTGGCACTCGCTGCACAGCCGGCCTTGCTCAGCACAATGGACATTTGCCAAGATGGCTTTGGCTTTATGCTCGTCTTTGGCGACTTGGTTTGGGTTCCTTTTACGTACACCCTCCAAGCACGCTACCTGGCCGACTTTCCCCAGCACCACTCTTCATCCTACATTGCCTTGATTCTGCTTGTGCAACTTGTTGGTTCGTTCACACGCGTCCAATGCCGCGGATCTCGACGGCGGCCAGGTCTCACTGCCCCTGCCGTTTCCACATAGGCTACTGCATCTTCCGTGGCGCCAACGGGCAAAAAGATCAGTTTAAGCGTGACCCCACGCATCCCAGCGTTCGCCGTACGTAGCAGAGCCCGGTACTTGCCGGCATGGCTGCCAGCCTTCCTCATATCTCCTCCCTGGCCGTGCCGTGCCCGAACAGATTTGAAAACAATCCCCACGACCCGTGGTACCAAGCTCATTGCTTCCGGCTGGTGGGGCATGGCGCGTCACATCAACTACTTTGGTGACCTCTTGATGGCCCTGGCCTGGTCCTTGCCTTGTGGTGCGTGGCATGCATGATGTGTTTTTGCCCATAAGTTTGTTCGACTCGGACAGCATTTTTTTTCTCATGCTCAAGCCGTCTGTTTCTTGCCCATTGTTTCCATTTCCCGTGCCCGAAAAATAGGCTGTGGCTCCATCATTCCTTACTTTTATCCGATTTACTTTGCCGTGCTGCTGTGGCATCGCGAGCGCCGCGACGAGCACAAGTGTGCTGCCAAGGTACGTGCATCGTTGTCGATGAGTTGGAATGCAAAAATGACATGAATTTATGATTTGACTGCGTCGTGGCCTTGCTCTGCCCTTTGTACTGGTAGTATGGCGATGCCTGGAAGCAATACTGCGCGCAGGTGCCCTATCGCATCATTCCGTACGTCTATTAAAGGCTGCGTGCATGTTCGTTTGGCGCGACAACACTTGAAATGTTTGTATGAAGCAATGTGCAGGTTGGGGGCATTTGCAATTGATGGCTACCCAGAACGCTTCGTGTCGCATGAATGTGTAGTTGTGGCATACGAAAGAGGGACAGGAATTTGACTTCAGTGTCAATTTGGTATGTGTCGCACAGCGACTTGGCCACAGCCATCTTTGAGGATGCCTGGGCCAAAAGCCCCCACGCCAGGCGGGGAGTTACAGGGAGAGAAGCCAGCTCTCACCACACGGGATGATGTGCGGGGGAAGTAAACAGATGAAGAATAAAAATATCAGGAAAGCATTGTGTAGGATAATAGCATGCACGTTCTGACAGAAGGCCAGAGCTAACTCAAAGAAAGAAGAAAAGAAAAGGAGATTCAAAACTCAAGGGGACAGGAAAAGGGCACGACGCCAAAGCGGCTCACCGATGAGGTCTAGAATAAGATGAAAAGGAGAAGACAACCTCCAAGGGAAGCCCTCGTCAAAAGCAAGAGAGAAAGATACTCCATTCAAACAGGATTGGTGTCCCAGCCTTAGGCGGCCTTGAGGCGAGACAAGGGACTGGCGTTGCGGATGGGTTGAGGATTGGCCCGAGCTGGTCGCACATCGTGATGGGGGGTATGGCGGGCCAATGGGGAGCGGCGGCGAACTTGCTGATCAGCACGGCGTTGAAGATAACGCTGGACGGCGGCGACCGAGGGGTCGAGGCGCGAGTCGCAGAGGATGGCCTTTTGTTGTTGGCGACCTTGCAACATGTGCCAGCTCAAGGCATTGCGGGGGACCCGTGGTCTGGCGCCATCAATTTTGGCCAGGGGCTTGTCCTCGGCTTCGAGGTCAAAGAGGGCGCAGTAGTGGGCTGTGGAAAGGGGAAGTCGGGGCTTGTTGGGCTGAGCTGGCCGATATGGCACATGGCGGTGTCGTTTGCTGGTCAAGAGCAAGGCAATGATCAAAGCACCAACCAGCAGAGCCACCACAACAGGGAGCATGGCCATCCACGGTCCCGAGGGAACGTGGTGCCGGTGCAACCCATCACCAGCAGACATGTCTGTCATATCGACTGATCGCCGAGCAAACACCCTTTGCACCTCGAGGCGCACACAGTGAGAGAGAGAAAGAAAGAGGGACGGCGCCGCCAATCCCAGTAGCAGCAGCACCGAGAGGGAGAGAGAGAGGGAGAGAGACGTGCACAGTTCTGGGATTGGGAAAAATGGAAAAATGATACACCCAACCCTTCTCTTGCACCCCACCCTCTGTGTGTGTGTGTGTGTGTGTGTGTGTGTGTGTGTGTGTGTGTGTGTGTGTGTGTGAGCTTCTTTATGTATGTTAACGACCACGGCACCAAACGCGTATTCGTGGTCTGTGTGGTCTGTGTGGTGTGTAGGGTGTGTTTCTTGCTGTTATTTGTTAGAGCTGTGAGATCCATCGGTACACGCGACGCGACCTACCACATCTTGCATTACCTTCTCTCTCCTTCCTCTCTTGCGATCTGTTAGTCTTCCTTGTGCCGTGACGTCATGGGCCGTTTCAGAGCTCGCGTGGCCGTGCTCGCCTTTCTCACCTGCACAGGGGTCTGATGACGTCAAGGGTAGAGCTCGCCTAAAGGGCATGAAGGGCAGGGTGGCGAACTTTTTTCTGTGGTAAAAGGTTACAAACACACAGCGCGTGTGAAAACGACACCGTACAAAGTGTTATCAAGGTTACACTCATACATGTGGGGTTCTAAGGAAGTGGCAGGCGCAAAGTGCAACCTGACTACAAGAACATCACGCCGTGACGTCACGATGCCTCAAGCACGCGCGCTTGACGCCCGTGAGTGAGCTTGGCGCTGGGAATGCAACGCCATGATGTCGTGCACCCGATGGCTGACTGCTCGACGATGGCAAAGGAAACATGACATGGTTGACCACGTTTGTCATCAAACCACACAGTATATGGTCGCGTGTGAGATGGCGAACGAAATCGAAATCGAGGGCTCGCCGAAAACCAGGTCGCCTCCAACTCGACGACTGTAAGAACGCCTCGCCATGGCCCGGATGGCCTTGTTTTGGACTGCACTTGAAAGGGCAGAGGGTGGCTACTGCTATTGCTGCCATCTTATTGCACGACTGGGACCTGTGATTGTGCCCGGTGATGGTGCCGACGGGTGCCATGGGCACCAATGTTTGGTGCCGCTGCCCAATGGATGGAACACGCTGGGTCCATTCGGAGCTTGACATCAGGCAGCAATGCCGTGCACGAGATGATCAGGGAATACCATGATCAGGGTTTCGGTTGTCTTGAGCTGTCTCTTCTGTCTGACTGTCTGTCTGTCTGTTTGGTGTCTCTGCCTGTGTGCCTGTCTCTGCCTGCTTGAGCTGTCTCCCTATCTCTATCCCTCTGTTCGCAAAGTTGTCTTCTTTCGGCCAGCCGCGTTTGGCAGCAAGTCGGCCGTGGCCACAACCCAACCAAAGGCATTCAACCCAAACTGCCCTACCTACTTTTCAGGTTGTATTAGTAGGTCTCTCGGCGTGTCGCTCCGAGGCAGATTTGTGGCAGATTCTTCCCCGGGCCATGTGCTGACCAGAGGGGTAAACAATCTTGAGTCAGTTACATAGGGGAGAGAGAGAGAGAGAGAGAGAGATATAGAGAGAGAGAGAGAGAGAGAGAGATAGAGAGAGAGAGAGAGAGAGAGAGAGAGAGAGAGAGAGAGAGAGAGAGAGAGAGAGAGAGAGAGAGAGAGAGAGAGAGAGAGAGAGAGAGAGAGAGAGAGAGAGAGAGAGGCTTATAAAAGGCTCACCCTAACCCATAAGAGAGAGACTAGACACCAACTGAAAACAGCTCAACTTCACATCATCGTGAAATACCACAACAGATACAAGCAACACATGTTATTGACAGCAACCTTTCCGACCGTTATTGACCGTTGACGGGAAGTGATTCAATAACCATCAGTTTTTGTATTATTTGAACGAGACTAGATACTGTATAATTCTTCAAAATTATTTATCTGACATCCGTCGGCTTGCACACGTAAACATCATCACGCCTATCCCGGTCACAAGCATTCAAGCGGTATATGAAGAACATGTCGTCAATGACATGGTTTATGAAGAAAGTAAATTGATACCATAACAAAACAGATTAAAAACCAGGAGAGAAGTTGAAGCATTTAATACAGATGTTGCAGTAGAACAGCTTGTAACGGTCAAGCCTTGAGTCTCGGCCAGTCTCTCCCACAGTCTCGACAAATCTCGTAACGGCAGTTACTAAACAACACTCACTCTCCCACACACACACACACACACACACGTCGGCAGTCACTCTCTCTCTCTCTCTGACTCTCTCTGTCTCTGTCTCTGTCTCTGTGTCTGTGTCTCTGTCTCTCTCTCTCTGTCTCTGTGCATTCATACGGAACGAGACCAGCAGAGCACACAGAGAGAGGAGAGAGCCGACATTTGCTCAACGGGCAGTGTGCCCCTCTCTCTCTCTCTCTCTCTCTCTTTCTCTTCCCTGTCGCTCACTTGCTCTCGTCGTCCCTCTGTGTGTGTGAACTCTGTGCTCGTCACTCTCTGTGTGTGTGTGAACTCTGTGCTCGTCACGCTGTGTGTGTGTGCTCGTCACGCTGTGCCCGGGGTGTTGATCGGTGCTTGTGACGTTCTTTTCTTTCTATCTTTCTTGGCTGGTCGTCACTCCCCGATAGACCGGTCGGACGGACTGCTTCAACTTGCCCTGGGCTCCCTGTTGCCCTCTCTGGCTCCACCTCGAGCGGCCCCTGGTGTGCGGGTTGACGCATAGTCAGGGACGCGCCGCGCCGCAAAGGCGGGGTTGATTGGTTGCATAGACACCAAAGACACTCGTCCTGTTGGACGCCCGCTTCATCCCGTACACCTCCATCATGGCAGCCACCACCGCCGCCTTGGGTCAGTCAACCGAGGTCACGTCGCTGGATGCCGAGCGCCGGCTCTACCTCCAGACCCTTCAGGAACTTCAGCTCGAAGAGATTGATTGGTCGGACGAGGTCCAGCCGTTAGAAGCCAAGGCCAAGAGCCGTGCCCGACCAAACTCGCGCGCTGCTCGGCGCGTGGTCCTCGATGAAACTCCCGAACGCCCCGAAGGCAACGCTGCCTACGCCCTGGGTTGTGAGGCACCGCGTCGCAAACGCTCCAAACGATCCATCCACCATATTGATGATGCCGATGCCGTGCTGCCCCGCGTCGACCTCTCCGCCAACTCGCCTGTGACTGCCCCAGTGGCCGCCCGACCCGGACTCCCGCACCACGATCTCAACTGCCGCCTCCCCTTGCAGCCAGCTGGACGCCTTGTGCAACGCCGCCACCACACGGCGACCGTGCCCACCCTAGTCACCCCCACCCTTCAAACGGAGGCCCCGGTTGGTATTTGTTTTGCTCTGAATAACGTTGTTCTCCCCTTGCTCCCCACTGGCCACGGAGACGCACGATGCTCCCGTCCTCCTTCACCACCAAACACTCACACGCGCTGGTCTACTGGACCAACACCGTCCCTTGATCTTTTGGCTCACTGGGCAGGATCTTCCTAATCTGCCCACGGAGGAAGAGCTCAACACCCCTCAGGTCTTTGAATCTCCCTATTTGGCTACTGCATCCAAGCGACACCATGCCTCGCCCAGCGCACTCCGATCTCCGAGCAAGACTAGCGAGCCTGCCTTTATCCAGCTTCTCCCAGATGATGTGCTCTGTCATCTCTTTGGCTTTCTCAGCACGCGCGACATTGCCACTTGCCGAACAGTCTGCAAACGTTGGGAAGAGCTCATGTCAGTCCTCATTGCATCGACATGGGATGAAACCAAGCCTAATCACACCACTCACTGCCATGTTTTGGCCTTGTATTGATTAGCCTGCGCACAAGCTTTGCCCGCACTGTTCGCCTGCGCTCCACCAACCTCCGCCCCGAAGCCGTCTGTGGCCTCTTGCGTTTTGATTTTTCCTACTTGCAGCTCAACAACACCTGTTTGGCGGATCTCACCCGCTCACAACTCGACCTCATCAGCGGGTACAAAGACGCGCCATCTTTCTCAAGTTGTCCTGGTCTTCTTGCGCCCTTCCTTTCCTCACTCACCAGACTTGCACCATGTCGCGTGTCCCCGCTCTGCAGCAACAAGAGCCTCACACGTCTCAGTCTGACATCATCCATTCTTTCCGATGACCTCTTCCACTTGATACTTGAGGTTGGTCCTTGCTAGCTTGCCATCCAACCAGTTGAGCGGCCCTCGGCGACCACCCACAACCCTTGGCCGTGCGCTGTCTTTCTCAACCCCCTGCTTCTTTTTGCTCAGCACGCACCCCATCTGGAGGAGTTGGATGTTAGCCACTGCCCCCTTTCTGATAACGTCCTACGGTAAATTATCTACCGTGCCTGCCTTTCTCGACCACAACCTCGCAGCATGCTCAAGCCACTCATGCCTGCCCATCACTTGTGGAATTTCCCTGCATCTCCAGATCCATTGGACGTTATTGCCCCAAACTCAAAGCCCTCAGTCTGCAAATGACAGCAGCTTCCTCGGTACGAGGGTGTTTCTTTTCCGCCCTTCTCCCATGATATTCTCCCGCCACGGCCAGTCTTCTTCTTTCTTGAACAAGATCTCATGTGGCGCTGCCTCCACGCTCTGTTTTCCCTTTCTTCAGGGCGCCATTGAGTCCATCACCAAGCACTGTGGTGGTCTTACGCGTTTGAACCTGGCCTGGACCGAACTGACCTCCAGGGACCTCATGCTTGTGGCCAAGCATTGCCGGCGCCTGCGCCATCTGGACTTGAGTGGCTTGCGCGAATCCATGACTGACCAGTGTACGCCTTGTTTCCCCTCATCTTTCCCATGATGCCGAGTGCAAAGTGTCATGGCCTCACATGATCAATCATCCAATTTCTGCCGTGTCGGCCTTGCTCGCCTCCTGTTCACCACAGGCTTGGAACTGCTGGTCCGCAACTGCCCGCATCTTGTGATCCTTGATCTCAGGTTTGTAGCTTTCATTTATCCCACCATCTTTCATCCTTGATGACGGTCGCTGCGACTCAATTACTCGTTGTTTCGTGTTTGTTGGACAGTGATTGCTACGGCTTGACCGATGCTGCCATTGCAGCTTTGGCCGACGCGCACCATTTGAAGAAGATTGCGCTCTCACGCTGCCATAACATCACGGTGGCAGCCATGAGGGGCCTGCGCAATGTTCCCTCACTCACAAGCATCGACCTCTTTGGCTGTTACAGCGATGTATTCCCACACATCCAAGAAGCCTGCCAGCATCTTGCCATCAACACAACTTCGATGAACAGGCAGCCCTTTATTGTGATGCCTTGAGCCGATTCTCCTGGCATGGCTGTGTCAGCATGACCAAGCGCTAGGGTTTCATTCGTGTCGTTTTTTGTTTCGACGCTCGCGTTGTGTCTTGTGGGTCTTGTGTTTTGCGCACGAGCAGAGTGTGATGTGCCTGGTAAACCCAACCTAGACGAGACTTTATGCCGTTGACTGCGAGTCTAATTGAAAGCTCGACATGAGAAAGGTGGGGGCTAAGCGACAGAGATCCGGGGTTTACTCAATTGTTCCATCGCGTGAGTGCGAGGGACATCTCATTCGAGAAACAATAATGTTGGCTGAAGGAGCAAAACGAATCCGGGTTGGTTGGTTTGGAGGAACACAGACCCGCCATAACACACGATGCGCGGTGTGATGACAAGTGTGCTTGAAGGTCCTGGGAGACCTTCACGCTTCATGTCAAGCAAGCCACTGATGACAGGCCATGGATCAGCACTAATCACAGGAAGCAGCAATAGAGAAACAAGAAGCAAGAGATAATGTAGAGGTGAAGGGAAGAAGAAAGAAGAAGAAAGAAAGAGCAAAAAAAAAAGTCAAAGGACGTGCAGTCTGTCTGTAGTGAGAGTTGAGGAAATGACAGTCACACTCATGACAAGTCATTGTGGGTACACAACAAAAAAAGGTGGTCAACAGGATGCAACAGAGCAACACTAGCAGTCGCGAGCAAACCCGTTGCCTTGTGGCTGCAAGACAGTAGTTTGGGATGAGCACAGCAGCAATCCAGGATGTATCAAGCAACCCATGCATCAACTGGCTCATCGTGTGACACCATGAGAAACAGTCGGCCAAGACAAAGAGGGTGGAGCAGGAAGCAAGGAAAGGCTGGAGTTTACTAGCAAAAAACAAGCCAGCGGAAGCAACACTCGCAAAATCGTGGCGGGGAAAAAGGCAAATGCACCATGGATACTGGCACAGCAGATTGCCCGGTAGCAGAAGTGAATGAAAGATGGGAGAGGGAGGAGAGAAACAACTTACGCATGTGCACGTAAACATGCACAAACAAGCAAGCATGCCAAAGCAGCAAAGACAGTGGCACGACAAAGTAAAACGAACACAAAGTAACAAAAAGAGAAAAGGGGGGAAAAAAGAAAAAAAAGAAAAGAAAAGATGGCGTTTGGTGGTGACCGGAGGCGCGGCCTCGGGTCAACCAATGTACGCGGACTTAGGAACTTTGCGCGGTGGCATCAGAGACGGAGGAGTCGACGTAGAGGGATTGGTCAACCACTGATGGCATGGGCGCGATGGCCGTGCCCAGCTCGCGCTCAATGCGAAGCAAGGCCTCACGGTTGCCAGCCGTCACAAGGTTGATGGCCAAACCAAGGTGGCCATAGCGACCACTGCGGCCAATGCGATGCAAATACGTCTCGGCCTCCCGGGGGAAGTCAAAGTTGACAACCACGTTCACAGCTTGGATGTCAATGCCACGCGTGAACAGATCTGTTCACAAAAAGCAAAACAAAAGGGGGGAGGGGAAGGGGAGGCGATGGAGATGAGTGCGCGTGTCGTTTCGAAGAAGATGCAAGCGAGCGCAAGACGCGTCTGCTGGCGAGGCCGACATGCATGCGGCTTGACAGTGGCAGTGGGCGCACTGACCCGTGCAGACGAGATGGCGGCTTTTTCCCTTGCGGAAAGCATCAAACACCGTGTTGCGGTGCGATTGTTCCATGCGTGAGTGGATGTACAAGCAGGAATAACCGAGCTTGGTGATTTTCTTGGCCAAAAGCTCCACACGGCTGTGGCTGCTGCAAAAAATGATTGATTGGTTGATCTGAGACGGGAGCAGGCAAGGGTTGATGGTGATACAATGAGCTAGATGCGTGCACGCTGATGTGCAGGAACGCGGTGGGCTTTGTGTTGGTGTATGGTCCAACTGGCACCACAATTGCAGGGGTCTTGTGATAGTACCTGAAGCTTGCCAAAAAGAGTGTTCAGGCAGCGAACTTTGTCCTTTTCTTCCAAAAAGGCGTAAAATTGAGTGACACCCTTCAGCGTGAGGGTCTCCATCAGGTTGATCACATGGGGGTTCTTCAGGTAGCGTTTCTGTACCGCACACGCACAGTTGCAACGCATGAGTTGAATTGAATGATGGGCCACAATTCCGACGTGTCAAAGCGTCATTTCAACGTGCAAGGCATCAGCCATCATAGAGACGGGCAAAAGGCTCGAGGGGGGCAGGAAAAAAAATAAAATAGAAAAAATAAAAATAAAAACGAGAGTTATAACAAAAAAGAAGCGCTCGGACACAGACGCTGGGAACATTTCACGTACAGTAAAGCCTTGGACGGCCACAGGGTAGGTAGCCGACAGCAGCATGGTCTGCCTCTTTTCTGGCAGGTGTGAAATGATCTTTTGCACGGTATCTGCGCGTGACATGATTGGTTCATGCGATGAACATGCAAATTTTGGCGGCGCATGAGCATGACATGTTGTGCCGATCTGGAAAGTTTTAATGTACACAGCTACACACCCAGGCTGTCCTCGCTGAGGAGCTTGTCGGCCTCATCAAAGACGAGGATGTTGCAGCGGGCCATCTGTGCGACACCGCGCTCTATCAGGTCCAGGATGCGTCCACCAGTGGCCACGACAACGTGGACTATATTTTACGTTGAGAATCAAATCAGCAAACGTATCCCAATGAGAACCATAAACCAAATGATCTCGAGGCACTCATAGGTGCGCATGCGTGTGTTTGAGCGTGGGAAGGAGCACAGATAACGTTGCTGGGAACCGATCAGACCTGTTTGGCCAAGACGAAGGATATCATCACGAGTATTGGTGCCACCGGTTGTGGTCATGATCTACAATCAAATATTTGGATCGAGCCTGCTTGTGAGGCCACGGGGAAGCTACCTGCATAACAGTGGCAACGGATCTGCATGGTGGACGTGCGTGCTCGGCGCACCTCGAGATTCAGGTGCTTGCCCAATTCCTTGGCAATGGAAGCTGTTTGCAGGGCCAACTCACGGGTTGGAACCAGGATCAAGGCTAGATTGAAGTGCAAGCACGAGCAAGAAGCATGTCAGTTCTTCCTGGGGGTTGCAACATGCAAAGGCAAGGGGAGGGGAAGCACTGGGTCCAACCTTGGATGCAGGCCAGAGCGGGGTCGACCAGCTGCAGCGTGGGAATGAGGTAGGCGCCGGTCTTGCCGGTACCTTGATGGGTGAGGGCACATGCATGACAGCAAACACCATGCGTGAGGAGTGCGCGCTAGCAGACGGCTTTTCAGTCCCTTTGAAACAATGCCGATCAGGAAGCGCACCGTTTTTGGCGCGTGCAAGAATGTCACGGCGCATGAGAGCGTTGGGAATGCATTCCTCCTGGACAGGTGAAGGGTTTTCAAAGCCCTTTTCGAAGATGCCGAGCAGCAGCTCGCGCTTGAGACCAAAGTCTTCAAACTCGGTACCGCGCGTTGCGGTCACATCCTGCGCAAATAAATCGTACAAGGACGTGAGCAAAGAACAAAATACGCTCACAAGAGTTTGAGGCCATGCCAAGAGTCTCGGAGACTCGTGTGGCTGCGTGGCCGGTACGGGCCAATCTGGGACACACCTCCGTACGGGGGCGACGCGCCACCAGATTCATGGCAGCCGTCTTCTTGGCCAACATTTCCTATCAGACGTGGCGCGTTAGTTTTGTGGGGCCAAGTCTCTTGAGGCGTGTCGTCAGGTTGAAACGTACAGCGTCATCAGCCATGTTGAGGTTTTGGGTGGAGATTTGAGGTGTGACACTTGTCCGCAAGCTACAATCCCTGCGTGGGGATTCGTCTGCAGACCCAGAACAACAATCGGGAGCCATGCGCAATCAAGCCAAGCTAAGCTGAGCGATTCATCTCCACGGTTGCACGTTCGTATGCGACTCATAGGGCAAGATACAAGCAGGCAGAAGAACATCTGCCATTCGCCAAATAATGGATGACTGCCAGAACTGGCAAATTGACCAAAATAGCCTTCAGAGCATGCGAGACGCGTGCATGTGTTGCGTTGCGCCTGAGCGCCCAGACTGGCCTCGGGCCCTCTCAGTCCGAGCGCTCCTCAGACATAACAAACGAAGACCCACCAGCAGATGCTTCTTCGCCAATGGGACGTTTTAGTCAGTGTGCGGGGCTGGGTGAAGAGGTAAGGCATTGACTACTCCAGCAGCATCCAACTTCACGCGCCAGTCGTGGAAGAGGAGGAGGAAAGGTGATGGTCGAAAAGAAGCTCGTCGAGTCTCACGCAGGCTGCCGTTGATACGTCGGGGCGGTGACGGCCAAAAAAAAAGAAAAAAAAAAAAGTCACTGAACCGTGTCTGCACAAAAGAAACTCGACAGCTCACTGAGCTGACAATCGTGTATGACTCTGACATCCGTTTCCTCGGTTGAAATCTATTCAGAAACGAAGACGGTAGATTTCCCGCGAAAATTCAAATACACACTTCTGATACGAAATTTTCCCGCCAAAAAGGATGAACAACCAATTTTATCCGATCAACACATGACCCCCTCCCTCTCTCTGTCACTGACCCGCCGTCTCGCTGTCTCTCTGTCGCTCTACTGGACCATGCAGTAAATTCAGCCTCTATCTCTCTGTGTCTCTCTGTGTCTCTCTGTGTCTCTCTCTCCGTCTCTCGGTCTCTCTCTCGGTCTCTCTCGGTCTCTCGGTCTCTCTCGTTTTCGTGTGTGTCAGCGTTTCCTCGCGTGTGCATGTGTCAAAGTGTGTGTGAGTGCGTGTCTGGGTGTGTGAGGCAGCCGGGTCGACCAACGGCCGACCTGCTTTCCTTTCTTGGACTCGGCTAGTACATGCTGTCTGCTGTACCCGGCGACACTCGTGCCCCTCCCTGTTCGAACCCATTGTCGACTTTGATCCTTCCCTCTTGGATCGTGTTGGCGTTGTTTGTTTGATCGCTTCAGCCACTGCTCTCGTCTCGCAGCGGCACAGTGAACTGGCTCTCCCCCTTTGAAGCCTAAAGTGCCCTGTTGGTTCGCCCAGTGCGTGCCGGATAGCGACGCTTGCGTGTCCCTGCCGTGCAAGCTTTGAATTCAATCAAAAGACTTTTCTTGCCGCTCTCCAGCTTGGGTGAGCGGTTCTGGCAGCATTCGGTACGGTTCAGACCGCCTACCATCATCATGAATGCATTTGCGTCACCACTCCTGATGGTGACCTCACCCAAACGCTCGGCCAGCCCACTTCCCACGCGCGAACGCATCCCAGTGTAAGTCCTCGCCGAGATTTAACGCACCATAGGCACAGAATATTGCCTTCTTGCGCTCGTGCCGTGTCCTCCCCGACGCACTGCACAAAGCCTCATCCGGTTCTCTCTGTTTCACAGCGCACACATCTCCGAGGTCGAGTTTGGTGAGCCGGAGATTGCCGAGAACGACTATTTGAGCCGACTGCCAGACGCCCTTGCTCAGCGCATCCTTGCTTATGTGGTTAAATCTTCCGACGATCCCAAGCTACAACTGTGCCGGTTCGTACCACGCAACTTTCGCTCGCTACCAAAAGCGTTGCCCAGTCTGCACAAAACAACTCTGCTCGCATCTTTCCTCATGCATTGTGGTGGCACCGGGTCGTTGGCATTTGATACAAACAGGATCGCCATGGTCTCGCGTCATTGGCGTCTACAAGCCAGCAATCGGGAGCTGTGGGCTCCTCTCGTGCCACAACTGGCGTATTTCGATTCACCCAACCGCACGCTCCGCCAGGTACAAGTTGGCTCAGTATTTACCAAAGCGATCTTATATTGCCACAACCCTCACTCCAATTGTAACCCGACCAACATAGTACTACTGTGAAATGCAGCTGCAAGCCGCTCATCAACAACAACGCCACCAACAGCAAATGAAGCGCTCTTTCCAACGTCTCAAGTCAGTTACAGCGGCTTTGCGCCTTGTAGCTTCACAACCAGCCAATACCGCCAAATCTCATCGATTTTTCTTCCTGCCCTCTTTTCCTCTTTCTTTCGTTTTTGTTTTCTCTGCCCGCTCGCTCCAACATAGGACCCACGAACACCTGCGTGGCGCTTCACCCACCTCATCTCCCAATCAAAGCCCCAGCCCTCGCCTGGCCCCACCTGCGCTCATGTGCGTTTTTTTGGTCTCAGGCCCACTCGATGCCTTTTTTCTTCTCCCGTCTCATCAACATCTTACATGCCAACAATAGGCCTTTGGGTCGCGTCAATCCCAACCTCAACAGCCCAGCCGCCACACCATATTTTGAGTTTTCAAGTTTGCTCGTCCCGGGCAAGGAGAACGGCTCAAGAACCCCGGCAACGCCCGCCCTTCCCCCCAACTCCTTGTCAGCCACCCTTGGATTCACTCCAACGCCTTTGCGACGCCCACAGCGTCAGATTGCCCCAATCGTGCTCCACTCGGCACCCATGGCCCCAGCGCGGGCGGAATCACCAGCCTTGTCTGGCACAGCTACAGGAGCCTCGAATCCGTCTGCCATCCCAGCCTCTCCTGCAACGCCTCGCGCTCGTCAGCTACGGGATTCCGGATCCAGCCGCTCCGCCACCCGGCCGCACTCAGCAGCTGGCAGCCTGGCTCGGCAACGTCGTCGTTTGCATCTCTCTTAACTTTCGAGCCCCCGGTCATTTACTTTGTGTGTTTGTGGGCACACTTTTCTTGTAATTCTTTTTGAGTTTCTTCTCTTTATTCTACACCCCCGTTCCAGCGCCCAATGCATTGATTGCAGGAAAGAACACGCCAGGATGGTCAAGATGGGCTTCAGTTTTTTTTGTCCTCATCCATCTCGGTTTACGGCACACTGTCTTTCTCTTGTCTTTTGGCGTTCTTTTCTTCAACCCATTTATCTACCAGACAAAACAGAGAGTCTTGATTTGCTGTTCAGTACATTTGCAAGCATGCTCCGAACAGCACACTTGAAGCAATAATTGAAAGGTCGAACCATCAATGAATTTTGTGAGCACGCACTGGTTTGGTTGCCTTGATTGCACTGATTAATGTCTGCGAGCATCAATTGCCAACTGCGGCAAGGGCGCGGAAGGTATTGTTTGGTTGCCTTGCAGCGCACGGGAAAGAAACGCACGTGATGGGCATGGCTCAAAGCACCATGAGATTAGAACGAAATGCTGCCCTGGCCGGCCGAGTCGAGCGTGACGGTCTTGGCAGAAGTCGAGACGGAGGTGCCGCTGACCGAGGCGAGCGTCACCGTCACGGTCTCGTTCGGACCACCAGCCACCGTGATCTTTGAGTCGGTGATGGAGGGAAAGCGTGCCTTGGCCACCGGAATCCACCTGGTATACCCAACCCATTGTGAACAAGTTGGGCCATGAGTTGGGAGGCCTCATGACTCGAGTCGCACAAGCAGGCGCCGCACAAGAGCGCAACAAAGAGACGGTTCGTACTTGGTCAAGTCGCCAAGAACGGCTACACCATTGCTGTTGACGGGGGCCATGTGCCAGAGCTCAAGGTCATCGTCGCTGCATTCGGACAACAACGGTCAGAAGGGGGCCGTAGGAATGTATCAGGCCTTTCCCAGCAGTAATCCTTCATACACAACGTACTCGGTGCTTTTGCGAAGAGGCAGGGTGTCATCGGCACCCAGCACCAGCGTTTGAAGTCCGCTCAAATCGTAATTATTGGTCATGGCGTAGGCCACCATAGTCCCACCTTGAGCCTTGGAACCCAGATCCAGCGTCAACTATTCGTATGGCGTGTAGTGTAAGCTCTCATCGCTCTCCTACCGTCATGTTGCGACCTGTGTGATACAGCTTCGAATGCAACGCACCTCGTTACGGGACAAATTGTACGGCTTGGACATTTGCGTGCTCATCACGTGCTCAAAGCTAAAAAAAAGGGACATCATTGCAAGCGCATGTCAGTCATGTCCAGGGCATGGTGCTTTACAAAATGCTCGCACTGTGGGCAGAGTCCACTAGGGCCACACTGTCGTACACGACTGTGTGGGATGCTGCTGCACACGCAAAAAGGGAGGCACTTACCGGGCACTGCCTACAGTTGTATAGGAGGACCAGACGTGGCCTTGAGGACCCTGGCCAAAGCCGCCCTTGCTCATAAAGTAAGCATCAATGTTGGTGGCAGGTCGGTCAGGGCTGATCAAGCGACCGTCGGCACGGCAGCTACGCATGATCAGGGTCTAGCACATTCAATCAGTGCAAGAAAACTTGATGAGAAGTTGGCCAGCTTCTTGCAGCACACACACACACACACACACACACACATGCGCACATCTGTGGGCACTGTGCCCACAAAACTCGACTCGCAGGCTGGCACCTTGTTCTGGAATTCGGCGCCATCGCCCGGCGCCACGGGACCCGCCGTCAGTGTGGACACGACGGATTCGCGCAAATCTGTTGGCAAAGCGATCGCGATGGAGGTTAACCACCATGCCGAGGTTAAGGCAGGCCAGCCTAAGCAAGATAGAGACCGCCTGGACACGTCATGCGCAACAACAAACAGTGGAGGGCTTCAGCAGAATCAGAGGCTCCCGGCTCCTTGGGCTCGGTCCAGAAGTTGTCCTGGAAAAAAGAGGAGGCATGTGCGCGTCGCAAATGTGACAATTAAAGCCACTTCGAAGCCATGATCATACCACCCACCAATCCAACTAGCTAGCGTCTGCAGGTATAACCAGACCTTGAAAGGTGCGAGACCCAGCGCGTGGGCTAGAATTGCAGAGGATCCCAAATGCCATTGCTGGTATGGGCCTACGTCATGGGAGGGTACGTAGTCGTCGGACGCGCGAATTTGCGTCACGGAAGGGATTTCAACGCTTTGCAATGCATGTCGGGGGTCTAAACCATACATCCATGATGAGGGGTGCCATCACCTTCTGAACGCCATGGGCTGACACATCCGGAAAAGGGCGCCCAAAGGCAAAAGAAGCGGTGCGTACATGGCATGCAGTACTGAATGGTCATGTTGTTGCGGGTGGCAGCCAAACCCATCTGCAGGAGCCATTCACGGCCCATCGTAATGTTCTTAGTCAGCATGGGAACCTTCTCCAGCTCGTTGTCTGGAGTGGTGATCAAAAGCAGAGGATGACGTCCAAATGGACGCGGTCAGTTCCGATGCACCTGAGCGCCAGTTGCATAGCGCGCTGAGGGAGCAACACCTACACAGCCAGTCTTGTTCGTAAACGGTCAGGCCCCAGGTGGCACTACTCTTGAGGAGGTCATCCCAGAAGCGTTGCTCCAAGGGGACAACGGCGCTGCCTTCGTTTTTGTCACTAGGTGGCATGGCGTTTGAATAAGACGGCAGACAGGCTGGTTTCTTGGTGCAAGTGGTGGGGCTTGGTCGGATGAGGTTGGAGCACACCTAAAGTCATATTCGCCGCCATTTTGCTTTGAATAGGACGTCTCTGGGCTCCACCAGCGGTTGTGGCCAATGACAGGCCATTGGGTAATCTTGTTAAATTCTTGCAGGCCCTCAACACCACCAGGAGGGAAGATGCTTGGCATGGCTGGGGCAGCAAGATGTGAGAAAGAACCAGGTTGTTTGAACACACAGCGCCAAAATATCGCGGCTTACCCGTCCAATTGAGCACGCCGTCGTGGGGACCCTTGTAATACCACCTAGACGGTTGGGGCAAGTTCAGGAGTCAAACTACTACGCTTGGTTCCCCGCACAAGCTTGTCCAAAGGCACAAAGCGAGGATCTGACCAAGAGTCAAGCAAAATCCATTTGTATGGGATGGCCTGTTTGTTGGCTGATTCCCACAGGCGGACCAAAGTGCTGTTGTAGTCACCACCCGCGTCAGGCTTGTAGTAGTCTACGCCAACGGACCTCAGAGCAGCGCGAACCAAGTTTTGAGAAGGATATGTTCCTGCAACCTGCAACTAAAGCAAACAGAGGCAAGGGGTGCTCCAGGACCCAGAGGAGAATGACTGGCTTTTAAAATTGACGTACAGTAGGCACCATGATCGGTATTCTGTCAAGTCAGGCACAGCAGCGATCAAAAGGCAAATGAGTACAGATGCTGCCGGAAACCAAGTTTGATGACCGAACAGGTCTATGCTGACATGGTGTGAACTGGATCCGAGTTTGAAAAGCGTACATAACCGAGGTATTGGAGAGTATAGTCGTTGTCCCGCTGCTCCGTGGTCTTGTTGTACATGGCCATCAATTTGGCGCCCCAGGCAGTCATGGCGTTATTGAGGCCAGCGTCTGAAGCGCTGATGATGTATCGCAAACTGGATCCGGCTGGGATGGCCTCCATAGTGCCAACGTAGCCTGCGTTGCCAGTGCGAGGGTGTACAGACCGATGACAAGGCGGCGACGCAATTAGATAGGCTCGATATTGCGTAAAGTCGAACAGCAACTCACCAGCAGAGATTTGCTCGGTCATAGTAACGTGCAACGAGGCTGCCATAAACTGGCATACGCGGTACGAAGGTACAGGTGAGGGCTGGTCAAGACATCTCGGCACACGACAGCTGACGCCACTCACGCCAGCCTTTCAAAAACAAACGAGCAGAAAGGGAATGATCGAAGTGGTGCATATGAATGGGTACGCACATTGGAAGCA